GGAAGATGCTGCCTCTCATAGGTGATGCATGCCAACATCCATCCATCCATCTTCTCCCGCTTATCCGTGGTCGGGTCGGGGAGGTAGCAGTTCCAGAAACGTTCCTTTCCCCTCATCAACCAGCTCTGACTGGGGGATCCCAAGGCGCTCCCAGGCCAGAGAAGAGATATAATCCCTCCACCTGGTCCTAGGTCTACCCCTCGGTCTCTTCCCAGTTGGACGTGCCTGGAACACCTCCCTAGGGAGGCGCCCAGGTGGCATCCTAACTAGGTGCCCGAACCACCTCAACTGGCTCCTTTCGACGCGAAGGAGGAGCGGTTCAACTCCGAGTCCCTCCCGGATGACCGAACTTCTCACCTTACCCCTAAGGGAGACACCAGCCACCCTGCGGAGAAAACCCATCTCGGCCGCTTGTACCCGCGATCTCGTTCTTTCGGTCATGCATGCCAACAGAGACTTAAAATACTAAACATATAATGGACCGGCATCTAGTGGACACAGGTACATCTCAACGAAAACACGCCTTTCTGTTACCTTGGCTCTAAACTCAGAACAACAAGAAAAGTGCTGACATATTCGCTTCAAACAAGCAGCGAGTCTACACATCTTTGCAATCTGAAACCGACCTGTTTTGCTTGTACCTTGGACAAAAAAAGATTGACAATGGTCTTGCTTGTTTGAAGTAAATATGTAAGCACTTTTCTTGTTGTTCCGAGTTTGAATCCTGAGATTTATTGCACTTATTGTAAGTGGCTTTGGTCAAAAGCGTCAGCTAAATGCAATGCAATTTAACGTAATTCAATGGCGTACCTGTTTGGTGGGCGAGGCAGACTTGAGGCCTTCCTCTCTGTCGAAGGACATGGAGAAGGAAGAGGAGTGGGAAAGGTTACTCTCCTGACTGGGGCTGCGAGAAAGGCTGGTGCACGTTGACTCGAAGCTGGATTCCCCTGATGAGTGCTCCATATCCGCCAGGCGCAACCTCTTCTTCTTGGGCGGTAGCTTTTCCGATGGCATCTGGGCGAGGGTATCACTCCTCTGTGGCAGCTGGAACTCCTCTACATGCTGCGGCTGCTTTTCCGGTTCCTTCGTCATTGGAGATTCGGTATCTTTATCCTCCGTAACCCTGATCTCAGGAACTTGGATGTTGGGTTGTCGGACTAGCTTGGGCGGGACTTGATAAGGCTGGCCAGGGGATGGTGCAGCTGACGAAGACGAGAGGGAGGCCAGGTCGCTGTCACGCTCTGTACTCTCTGCCCTAAGCAGTAGGGCGGACTCAGGACTCAAAGCATCCTCAAAGATATCTGTGTCAGATTGTTCAGAGTACTGGCTAGATAGAGCTTTCTCCGAAGGCTGATATCCTGGATGCTCAAAGGACTCTGACTTCTCAAAGGAATTTGGCCGGCTGAGGGAGTTGGTGTGCTGGATGACTGATATGACATTCACAGCTGCCTTCCTGCCCTCAAAGTCAGGAAATAATGCAATGTCCTCAGAGCACATGCTGGCACAAGTGTCAAAGCTGTCGGACTGGCTGTGAGCGCTGTAAAGAGAGCCCTTTCCTGTTGGAGTTCCCCTCGACCCATCAAAACTACCCTGTCTAAACTCGCAGTCCCCTATCATCTCCACTGAACCACTACAGCTACTGTCGCAGTGCCCGGGGCTGTCCTCTTCATCACCAACACTCTTCTCTTTCCTCCTTTTTCTTGTGGCTATTTCTGACATGCTAATTTTAGTACCATATGGGCTGTAAGAAATGTGCTCAGGGACTCCTGGATTGCGCTCAACTAGCTTCATACCCAGAGATGAAGCTATATTCTTGGGCATGTGTCCAAAGCCCTCAGCCTCCCCTACATGGGCTTCATTGGCTGAATGTTCAAATGCAGCCTGCCTTGTCAGTCTGCGCCCTGGTGGGTAAAACACATCATCCGGCGCCATCATCTCATCAAATGAGTGACTGCCTCGAATTGCTGAGGGCACACTTAGGTTAGAGGGGGAGGATGTTGGCATGGAGTTACTCCTAATAAGGTGCCCAGAATCTGATGGAGGCTCGAGAAGGCCTGTGCTGCTTTGACAGGGTCCTGTTGGGTACTGCTTGGGATCTCCAGAGACTCCTACATCTCCCCTGAAACAGATGTGATCCTCAGCTATCTTCCCCATATCCATAATAGCACCTGATTGCTTTAAGCTAGTTAGGCTGCTGGGGTCTGCGCCTGCCATGCCAACTGCAATAGACTGTCTGGATCTGGAGTCGGGTCGGCCGTACCAAGTCCGACCAAACATAATCTCTTCGTACGTCTTGACATTATTATTTGGAGGGCTGATCTGCTGCTCTGCACTTTCAGAGCGGGAAAAGTATCCAGAGTCCGTGCTGCCCTTGCTGTGAGGACTGAGGAGGTTTAAGGACTGGGACATGATAGAGTCCGAGTCCTGACCCTTCTTCTCATTTATCCTCAGGGCCAAACGTTGTTTGATGGTAGGGGAATCATCCAGTGAATGCGCTCTTATGCCAGCGTGTGATGCCAACATGTGGTGTGAACCCTTTATGTCCTGAAAGGGTGGGCACTCCATTCCTGTGGAGGGTACTCCCCCAGCCTTGGGTATAATAAGGATAGGCACTTTCATAGACCCCACAATCAGCTCTTCAGCTTGGTCTGCATATGCCGGCTCCCCACCACCTACACAATGGGAAAGAGTGGAGCATGACGAAGAGAAGAGTAAACAGATAAGGATTGTCCTGAGAACTTCATGCATTTTAAGATTTGTTATGGATGATTCTTAGGGTTACCTGTATTCTTGTCAGCTTCAAAGGGGATCTGCGGGATGGGGCTGTCTTTGTCCGTCAGCATGGTGGAGCCCTCCACACCTTCCTCATCGGTGTCGGTACTCTGCTCTCCGTCTGAGTGGACCTCGGCATCCCCCCCTGGAGACGCCTGGTCCATATCACCACCGCGAGCCACAGATAGCTCTGAGAATGGTACAAGTCCAGCCTTGATGGCATGAGCATGGGACTTGCGATGCTTGTAAAGGTTGCTCTTGGTTTTAAAGGAAAAGCCACATGGTACACATGGATATGGCCTCTCTCCAGTATGAGAACGGATGTGCTTCTTCAAGACGCTAGGCTTGGCGCAAGCTCGTCCGCAGTAGTGACAGATATACTTACCGGGCTTTTTGGGCTTCAGCTCTTTTTTGCTGTAGCCCTCCTCTCCAGGCTCAGGGCCCGATTGAGAATACTGTCCGAAGGAGCTGGGTAAACTGGGAGACTTCTGGCGGGGAAACCTCCCTGCCCCAGCCCCATGAGGATGAGTGTGTCCCGGGTGTCCTACAGGGTACAGATCATCCGAGGGCAACTGGCCAGCAAAAGGCCAGGCATGTGGCTCTAGACCTGGCTGGGGTTTGGCTCCTGACAGGAAGCGCTCAGGCTGGGGGTGCTGAGGGTATGGCTGGCCCAGCTGGTAGGAGTATCCCATTGGGAACCCCTGTGCAAAGTGCCCTTGGGGGTCTTGAGATGGTGGGCCTCCCATGGCTCCAACTGCAGAAGGTCCTGATAGCAGCTTCCCAGAATTCCCTGTAATTGCGTACTTCTGTTGGGGCGCTGATCCAACCGTGGCACCACACGGCAAACTCTCACGGTGTTTGGAGTCCGGGTCAGCAAAAGTGCTTCGTTTTGTGTTAGCAGAAGGCTCGGATGCCCACTTTCTTTGAAGAGTTGCCTTCTCCTTCACTAGGTCCTTACCTGGGCCTCTCTGCCCGGCTGGTTCACGAGCCTCCATTTTTGAGAAGCTCTTCCGGGGGTTAGAAGAGGAAGGAGGGAGGGGATGGTGGGGGAGTTGGGAGGGTTTTCAAGGGTTACAAGGTCCCAGAACTACCAGGCATGATAGCTGAACCTTTGATGGCTGCCAACAAGTTCACAGAAACAGGAAGTACCCGTCCATTGCAGAAATAGACTGACTGGAAAGCCAGACTGGAAAGAGGAATCAGAGAGTGGAAGTAAAAGGGGAGCCTTAGTGGATAACATCAGAAATGTCTCTCTCCTTTTGCCATTTTGTAAACACTAATGTTGCCGTGCGTTGTTTTTCTTTCCAGTTCATCCAAAGGCAGAAGAATCTGGAGAGGACACAAACAGAAGAAAAACATTTGTAGCCTTGTGGAGTGCATTTTAAATTAGCAGTGTATGTATTAACCATTCGACCAAAGTCAACAACATACTGCATTTGATCAAAGGGTAAATACTAACTTTTTCTTCAGGGAAAAGTGTTTGTAGATCTTCTTTCTTTAACTTCGGAAGTCATCCAGTGTCTCAATCAAAGACCTGCACCAAAACACAAGAGAGAAATTAGTTTTGCTATCCAAATTGTTCCAATAACACAATACAAAACTCAATGATGGCACAGAAACAAGTTGCTCTACTGACACCTCGGCTTACCATAAGTTGGTTTTGTGTTGCACAATGAGACGTAACATTTTGGTAACACAAGTGCGACACAACATACTGTGTTGTACAGAGAGTACTGATTAAGTTGTCGTGCCTGATGTGCGAATGTAAATGTCATTGATTGCTCAGTTACTTTCTTCTCACAGGAATCCATCTGTGCTTTCTGCCTTTTCCACCCCTTCCTCCCTCCCTCCCTCCTCCCTCCACTCAGTGAGTCACCGCTGCAAAGCAAACCCACGCTGTTCCTAAAAAGACACAAAGGCTTATAAATAGCGCTTGTGGAAGTGACGTCGGTGTGTCATAATGTGTGTAGGCGTCCAAAAAGGCCAAGTCGAAGAGCAGCCATCAGCGCTAGCACCTTCCCTTCCTCTCTAGGTGTTAAAGTTTGATTGGTATGTTCTCGTTCAAAGAGCAAGATAACACACATACACACACACACACACACACACACACACACACACACACACACACACACACACACACACACACACACACACACACACTCCA